TCCTATTTTATAAGAGGTAATGAAACTCTTTATATTAAACATATATTAAGTATTTCATATTTAACTTTTCATTCCTAATGGATCATTTCTCCAGAAAGAAGACCATGGGATTCATAATGTTTTCTAATATGATTCTAAGTTGTTTTCACTGAGTAGGTAAGGCTTTATTTTGCTTCGTTCATATGATTTTTATTTTTCTTTAAATTCCATTTTCTGAAGGGTTTCTATTTTACTTAGCTTTTTGAATGAAGCCTTTTGATGTTATATCAGCTTCTGAATCTATAGGTTTATATGTGTTTTGTCAAATTTAAGAAATTTGCATCCATTATTTCTTCGCATGCTTTCCCGCCCCACTTCTTTTCCTCTTCATTTGGGACTTCAATGGTATACATACTCCATTGGTACCTGAGTCTTTGTTTTTTCTTCCTACTTCCCCAGCCTGTACTGTATTTTCTCAGTATTTTTCAATTGGAGAATTCTCATTGTCCAATTTAATTTTTCTTCCCTTTTTCTTTTTGCCTCTCCATTCTACTATTGAGATTATCAATGTTTTGTCTTATTTTGATGACTTACATTTTCTTTATAGAAATTTCTATATTTTAAAAATAGAAATAACATTTTCATTTTCTTCTCCGCATATATCTTTTGGGCTCTTGTTATTTTTTAATCTATTTTCCTCACAAGCCTTTTTTTTAGTTGTCAGGAATCTTTGTAATTTCTCATCCTGGTCAGATAATTCCAATATTTGTGTTATTTCGGGGTTGGTGTTCATTAAGTGTTCTTTTCTTTCTCAAGTTCATATTTTGCTAGTTTTTTTGTGTAATGAATGATTTTTAGCTGGTCTCGGAATATTTTCAATATTATGGTGTGAGACTTGGATCTTACGTTAGTCTTCTGTGTTATTAGATGGTGAGATTGTTTCATTATTGCCATTTTATCATTTCATTATTGCCAATCTAAGAAATGGAAATCCAAGTTTCCCATAAACACCTCTCTGACATCCTAGAGAGGGGTGCCTCATTAACGCTGTGTTGAAATGAATTTAAGATTCCCCAGTATACCTTTGATGACATCACACTGACTGACTGGATGAGAAGGTGGCAAACATCTTGTTATCACACCCCACTAGACTCCTATTGTCATCCCTAATAGCAGGGAAGTCTCCTTAACAGTGGTTATAGCCAAAGTTTCAGTACCCAGCATGACCTTCTTCTAAACATAGAAGGACATTTTCCTTAAGCTTGGTGGAAAGAAATTCCAGGATTCTAATATTCACCACCCCTCCTCCCCTACGGCATGTTGGAGGGTGTCTCATTATTATTCAGTAGGGAATGGTGGATTTGTCTGCACAGTCAGTCTTTGATATCAAATTGCATGTGGACAAGAATGTGTGGCAAGGGACTCTTCAATGCAATTGGGGGAAAGCTGCTGGAAGTTTAGACTTACTAAAGTAAGTACTTCAGAGCATGGGAGTTTGGCTAGGACATTTTCCTTAATTTTTTAATGAAGCGTGGCAGTTACTGTCAGAATGTATTCTGTCTTGATAGGTTTTCTCTTTTTGTTATAGAAAACAATCTTTTCTTGTGGGCTTTTTGTTTTTCGGGTTTTTTTTTAAATCTGTGCCGATTGGTTTTCTGGGTTTCTGACAGCAGCTAATTTATGGTAAGTCAATAAAACAGAGAATTCATTTTCATGTTGTTTCTCGACTACCAAGGTTCATAAGTAGTCTACTTATCTCCAAATTTCTAATTCTTATGTTTGCTTTATTTATATTTTTCTTTTATTTTTAACTGTATTTATTGTGAAGAATAGATGTGAGTATTGCATCTTCATAAAGAAACAAGAGGTCCTATAAATACTAAGACCTCCTGTTCTCTGAGAGGAAAATTTCTTTTCTCCCCATTTAGTCATTTTCTCCCTAGCCATTCTTTCCTAAATATGCAAGACTGGATCAAACCCATTATCTCATTAAGTAACATTTTGAGGTCACTATTACCAGCTGTGACAGAGTCTGAACCATTCCTGTGTTAATAAAATCTGTTGTGTAGTCATTTACACATGAGAAACAGATATTTCCAGCATATGTTGATTAAGTTCTCAGCGTATGCCAATCAGTTTCCCAACAGATATTCAGGTCTTGTTTGATTCCAGTATTTTATTAAGACTTGTTTTAAGTAAATGATTAACTGAAATTTATTAATAAGTAATCTTAGTAAAGCCATATTGCCAGTCTGAGGACCTGTGGTTCAAAACAGCGTTTTCTATTCTCTCATGCATTCTTTTCCATTAAGCTTATATACTGTATAAGTCTTTGAGTGATTAAAATGATATTATTTTAGCCAGATGGGACTGAGAATAGAACTGTTACTGGGAGCTTTATATGTACAGAAGCTTCTTATATATTATTTAATTTATTGCTCAGAATAAAGCCTTTATGTTTATAGCCATTTAACCAATGAGGCTTTTGCAAGGTCACACAGTTGGTAAATGTTCAACCTGGGATCAAACTCTTGCTTTAAGTAATGAGCTACCCAGTAGTTTTGGACCATTAATAGAGCATTAAATCAAATTAGTGGGTAGCAAATGTTTTTTTAAGATGAAAGATATTAGATAAGAAAATATCATGGGGTATGTCATATAGTAAGAGAAAGTATTTTTAAATGGAAACAAGGGTATGTTTCTTTAATGCATATTTCTTAATACAGTATGTGCTCAGGGTCCCAATCCATGATATACTTTCCATGTGCAGTTTGCATTCTTGGGCCATATTATTTTGTGACCCCTTAAGCTCTTTCCAGGTTTTAATTTGAGACTGTTTACTAGATTCTGTGAACATAGTTTCCCAGGAAAATGCATTACCCTACCAAAACCAAATTTCTATTTTAAAAGTTTCAACCTGTAAAAAATTATCTGGTATAGAAGAATAATTGTCTAGATTCCTGCAGGAATTCAAACCCATTAATTCTAGATTGACACCCTATTGAAAATTTACATATCTATCCTAGAACTCTGGTAGTCTAGTGGCAAGAAGCTGCACTGCAGTTCCAAAGGCACATGGTTTAAATTCACCAGCTGCTCTGTCACAGAAAATGAGCAATTCTTCTCATGCAATTTGCTGCCTCTGGAAACCCGCTGGAGGGCCAGCTATGAGCAGGTTCCACCTCAGCGACACACAACACCAACATCGTAAATATGCTGAGTCCACATATATAGTTGCTTCTTATAGATCCTCAGAAGGACCTTGTTAAAATACTTGTTTTTACTCAGTCTATCTGAGTGAAAATGCAAATTCTCAGGAAGAGGTTGATCTAGAACAAACCAGTTCAAAACTTTTATTTTAAGCCAAATATTATTTTAGCATATGACTCTTATTGCAGATAAAAGATTTGATGCCATATTCTGTAGTTCATAGAAACCTGAGCTGTTAGCAAAAAGGCTATGCTTCTTTAAGGGGTTTGAAATCACCAGCCTCTCCCCAGGAGAAAAATGAACAGTCTCCTCCCATGTGGCTGACAGCCTCCAGAAACCCACTGGAAGGTCATTTATGAGCTGATTCCAACTTGACAGCAGTGACTGACTTATTTTTTTACCTCTGACTGTGTGTGTGTGGTGTGCGCGCGCACTTGCAAGGGTATATTCCTGGTCATAATATATTTTGCCCATTCAGTGGAGATTTTCCCCCCTATTTACCAGAAAATCACTATGAAATTCAGATTTTTTTAAAAAAGGCATAAATTGTGTGCTTACTCTTAAAGTAATATAGAGACACTACAGCAGTTTTAACAAGGCAGATCCTGGAGTTACAGACATGTATACAAGCTCTGCCACTTAGAATCTTGAGCAAGTTGCTCTACTTCTTAACTTCCAGTAAAGTAAGAATTATAGTGACAACGGACTCCTTATGGTCATGTTGCAATTAAAAATGATGTAAATACAAATTGAACATAGATACTCGTGTCTTATAGTATAAATGCTTACCTATGAATCTAAATAGTATGTTTTCAGACACCAGTTCAAAGAAATTCTTGGACTTCTACATGTAGGAAATGAATTAATTTCCTTTTGTATTGCACCCGTTAAATTGCTTTTTATGAGAACATACTACACAAGCTACACTAAAATACACTGTCTAACTTATATTGTTAATGAATTTCCACATAAGCAAAGATGGTTTTTTAAAAAAATTTTGCTTCTTCAGAAATGTCTTTGAATGTACCAAAGTTTGTCTATCCACACATTTGTTGATGAGCATTTATTTGTGATGCTTTCATCTCTTTCCTGTTGTGAATAATGCAGCAATAAACATGGGTGTGCATACCTCCATTCGAGTTGTGGTTTCTTTAAGATATATCCCTAGTGGAGCAATTGCTAGGTCAAATGGTAGTACATACATGCAAAAGTATATTATGCAGCACTGGTAAAACAATAAACTTGTAAAACCTACACAACATGGGTGAACCTGGAAGACATTATGCTGAGTCACATATCTCAGTCACAAAAGGGACTGCCTAACACCACTGTTAAAATAAGAGATGGGGGTTTGGGGGAAGGATGGGAAAAGAGTGGATAGATGATGAATGCCACATTGGAACAGATAATGGGAAGAACCATCAGAAAGGAATGGATGAGTAGTGATTACACATATGGCAACAGTCTGGAACAAGAAGTGGACTGGGGCGAGGGAAGGGAAGGCAAGGGAGGAAAGTGTGCAACAATGAATAAATGAAAATTCAATCTTTCTTTAAAAAAATTCAATGTCCTATGCACTTAAAAAGTAAATTTTGAAGTTCTTTTTTGGGGGGAATAAGTATATTTGTCTGTATAGCTATGTCCTGTACATAATCTTTGCAATATGAATTTGTTGACTTGATTAGATCAAAGCCCAGAAATTACACAGCAAAGTACTACGTGTGATATTTTTAATGTATTGCAAACACTGGAGCATATTGTTGATGATAGCATGTTTGATGTTACAGGATCACCTGGAGTCATCTATTTTCCCTATGCAGAAGGGCTCCTTGAACCTTCTGAGGCAGAAATGGGAATCAAGTGATTACCAGAAAAGTGAATGTTGTCCTGGAGGCAGCCACTGCAGGCTCATCCAACAACGAGAAAGCAAATGTCTTGAACCTCAAGGGGAGATAGTTTTAGCCCCAGGGCCTCCAGAAACACTGAGCCAACCCTGTTGTATAGAAGAAGAGATGTTGTCCTCAGTCCTCGAAAAGGCCCCTGAGGAGAAGAAGGATTGCTTGCAGGGACCTGGCCAGCCTGAAGTGCTGAGGGAAGATCCCATGGGCAGTCGACGCAGGATCGAGCGCTTCTCCATTGCCCTCGATGAGCTGAGGAGTGTGTTTGAGGCTCCTAGGAATGGAAACCGACCAGCTGGATCAGCTGAGTATGCCCGGAAGGTAAGAAGTCACTGACTGAAACGGGAAGATTACAATTGACAAGCTAGGAGACTTGGCCAGCCTGCCATTTATTTCTGAGCATGTAATGTTTTTCTCCCTCAGTTGTTTTCTAGACAGATGTCCTGGAGCAGTCATGTAATGTAGTATAATGTGACATCCTCTAGTACTGACCTCCTCTGTGGTCTGTTCCTTCAGGGACTTGTCCTTCTTTCACTCCACACACCACAGAGCTCTGACACGCCCTGCTATGTGATGCTTGTTTCTTTCTGTGTCTCCTCTCCACAACCAGATTGGACATTTCTTAGAAACAGGCACAATTTCTTTGCACTCTGTATCTCAAACATCTAGCATCTGATGCTGCTGCATTTCACAAGTGCTCAGTGAGAGTTTATCAATATTGATGGTGAAACTGAATAAGTAAAGACTTTGGAAGCGCAGTAACTTAGGTTTGAATCCTAAAACCTGCCATTTACTTTGACAGCTTCAATGGCATTTAACCTTGTGAATACATAGCTCCTAAAGCTGCTATTTTATAGGGATGCTTTAAGGATTACAGACACTATATTTAAAACCACCTTATTGGTGCAATGGTGAAGCCCTCTGCTACTAGTGAAAAAGTTGGCATTTTGATTCACCAGTAGCTCCAAGGGAGAAAAGACTTGGTGAACTGCTCCCATAAACTCTTATAATTAGGACATATTTATTCTTCTGTATGTGGAAGAAGGATGGGCAATTTCCTCCCATGAGATTAACTGTCTCTGAAAATCTACCACAGAGAGGGTTGGTTCCAACCTAACAGTATTTTACACAACAATTATCATGTAAGAGCAATTAATATTTGAAGTGGAACTGCCTAAATGTATTGTTACCAAAGCAAATAAAATTCTTTGCCATCAAGTATATTCTGACTCATAGTGATCCTATAAGACAAGGTGAAACTGTCCCATTGGGTTTCCGAGGCTGTAATGTTTTTGGAGGGAGCTGTAGTAGCCTGGTGGTAAGGAGCTTCATTGTTAACCTGAAGGCACTTAATTCAAAATGCAGCGGGCGCTCCATAGGAGAAAGATGAGCATTCTCCTCCGATGCTATTTACTGCCTTTCAAAACTCACTGGACAGTATTGCTGACATATTTGCTAAGAGTGTGTTCTGACTCAGTGTTACATAACTACAACAACAACCTTTGTGGACACAGACAGACACATCTTTCTCCCAGGGAGAAGCTAATGAGTTTGAACCACAGAACTTTTACTTAGCAGAAAAGCACTTAATCACAGTACAACCAGACCTTCTTATTCTGTGTTATTGTTATTAAGTGTTGTCTACCTGAGTAGGCCGTATAGAAACACTATGAACAACAGACAGATAGAAAGCTTGCTCCAGCTTGTACCAGCCTCACAATCTCTGCTTTGTTCAAGCCCATTGTGGTAGTCACTGTGTCAATACATCGTTAAATAAGACAGATTATAGATGAAGTTCGTAGAGAATAAACGAATAGTATAATAGATGAAGTTCATAAGGAACAAAGGGATGGTACTAGCTTTCCATCGGGACATAATACCCACACTTGGTTGGATTTTTTGGGTTGTTTTGTTTTGTTTTTTATTTGTTTGTTTGTTTGTTTGTTTTCACCTAATAGTAGTTAACAAGAAGGTACAGGCTTCTGCTTTTGTTAACAGATAATTAGGCTTCACAACAGAAACCGAACATTCTCAAAATAAATTATTGTGCTACTTGTTCCTGGTTTCCATGTTGGGAAATAAGTAATTTTATTTGATCTAATGAGAACATTATTGCACGTCAACTGGCTAGAGCTAGTTAGTGAGAATAAGGGATATGAAGTTAGGTATATGAAGTTGAAACTAGAGGATCTCTCAATAAAAAAGGCAGTGGTTGATTTCTCAGATGAAGAGTCTCCCCTAGCCCTTCACTCCTTGTTTCAGTCTCAGGGGGAGGACAGACCATCTCCTCCTGTGTAATTCTCTGCCTCTGAAAACACAAGAGAAGGTCAGACATGAGGCAATTCCACTCAACAGCACACAATAACAACAACTCTTTCGTCTAAATACAATTCTTTTATTTTGTGCCCTTCTAATGCCTCCATAAAACATAGGATTTGGGGCAAATTCCATATATCTATTTAGTGTCACTTTTTTTTATCTTTATAATGTGAGAGAAATAAAGTCACAAAAAGTCATTCCCATTCAATTTCCACTGACTTTAGCTTAGTAGTTTTGAACATTTTTTCAGAGAAAATGAATAGAACAAATGGTCAATGGCAGAAAAATGTATTCATAGGAATACTGTAATACTACTTTTCATATACATGAAATGTGGTTGCTTAAAGGCAATACAAGAAAATCAAATATTAATAAGAGTTCTGTTTGATATGTGTGATTATTGCTGTTTGCATGCTATATACTTCTAGTACACATGGAAATAATTACGAAAATATAAGATACATGAATACCACAATCTTGCAAAAATTACATTTGGTTCCATATTAACACACTGTGTCCCAGGTATTCTGAGATACTATGTCATAGGAGATTTCCCTGTATATGAAATGGATTGTGCATTTAGAACTTATTTTTCCACAGCAACCATGGTTGGATTTTAGAATCAGTTTTTGAATCATTAAGGATTGTTGTTGTTGAGTACTGTAAAGTTGGAACCAACCCATAGCTGGCCTTCCAGTGAGTTTTCAGAGGCAGATAATTACAGGGGAGATTACCCATCTTTCTCCCATGGGATGACTGGTGGCCTTGAACCACATTTGTTTGGGATTGCAGGGCAGCTTCTTGTCACTAGGCCACCAGAATATTAAGAATATGTTGTTGTTGTTAAGTGCGGTCAAGTCGCAGGCAATTCTTTGCGACCCTATGAAGGAAAGTCCTCAACACTTGTGTGTCTTTACCTATTTTATTATTTTTTTTTCTATTGAATTCCATGGTGAGAGGGGAAAAGACACTCCAATGTGTAATTCTTCTGCTTTCTCACAGTGAAGCATTTTGTTATGGTATTATTGTTGTGTGGTGTTAAGTTGATTTTCAACTCCTAGTGACCACATGTGCAGAGTATACTTGCTGAGTTGTTTTCTGGTAACAGGCTTTCTTGGGTTTTTTTAATACTGTTTAAAGTTTGTATACATAACAGGCTTTAAGAGTGCCTATCCCCAGGTCTTTCAATGATAGAGCCACTTTGATGGACAGCAGAATACTAAACCTTTGTGCCACTTTGAGCTGTCATCCATCATTGCCACTGAGGAGAAACCAACTCATAGCTGACCATCCAGTGGGCTTTCTGGACTGTAAATCACACTGAAGGAGATTGCCCATCTTTCTCCTGCTGAGGTTCTGGGGGATCTGACCTGCAGCACTACTTTTGAATCAGCAGTGTAACACCCTACAAAACTATGCCACTAAGTTCCTTGTTGTTAGTGTTGTTGTTGTTGTGTACTGTCGAGTCAGAACTGGCCCATAGCTGACCCTCTGGTGGGTTTTCAGAGGCAGTAATCTCATGGGAGGAGATTGCCCAATAGAGCAACTGGTGGCCTTGAACTGTGTGCAGATTGGATTGCAGTGTAGCATCTTGTCACTAGACACATGAAAAGAGTTCTGTTCCAACTAAATTACAAAGTATAGATTTCATCCAAAGCATGGTGATAATGTAGACTGATTGCTCTATCTTTATTATATTGATTATAATGTCTCTAGTGCCACAGCCTCTTGTAAATTCTGCTTGTACACCTGGTAGTTCTCTGTTGATGTACTTTTCTAGTCATTTTTGGATAATATTCAGCAGCATTTTGCTTACATGTGACATTATTGATTTTGTTCAATAATTTCTACACTCCATTGGATTATCTGGTTTTTTTTTTGGAAAGGAACCAACCTGGATTTCTTCCAGTAAAGTGGCGGGTAGTTGTTCTCCAGACTTCTTAGCACAACCTGGTAAGCGTGTCCAAGGCTGCATCTGTTTGTTGAAATATAGGGCCTTAATTTTGCCAATTCCTTTAAAGCAGCTTGAACTCCCTCCTTTGTCACCATTGGCTCTTGAACACAAGTTCTTTTATGAAATTATTTTGTGTCAGCCAATTCTTTTTGGTTCAGTGACTCTGTATACTCCTTCCATGTTCTTTTGCCGTTCCCTGGAATTGTAACCATAGAATCCTTAAATATTGCATCTTTAAGCTTGAATTTGTTCTTTAGTTCCTTCAGTTTAAGAAATAGTGAGTGAATCCATCCCTTTTGACTTTTTGACTCCACCTCTTTGCACATTTTAACACTGTGCTTTGTCTTCCTGAATTGCCTTTTAAAATTTTCTGTTCAGCTCCTGATCTCTTTATTTCTTCACTTTGTTTTGGCTTCTTGGTATTCTAATGGACATTTTCAAGTCCCTTCTGATGACTATCATGATCTTTTCTTTTTCCTATATCTTTGTAATGATATTTTCAATTCTTCATGGATGATATTCTTGATGTCCCCCCACAGCTCATTTGATCTTCATTCATTAGTGTTAATGGCTCAAACCTGAGATGATTTTCAAAGTCAGGTGGTATAGACTCAAGGTCAAACTTTTGTTCTTGTGGATTTGAATTTCTTTAGCTTTAGCTTGAACCTGCATGAGTAGTTGATGTTCTGTTCCACAATCAGCATCTGACTTAGTTCTCACAGCCAACATTGAGCTTCTCTGGTGATTTTTTTTCCCCACAGATATAACCAATCTGATTCCTGTGTAGACCATTAGGTGTATAGTTATCATTTGTGTTTCTTATAAAAGGTATTCACAAGAAATAAATTATTGATTGTACAATATTCTATCATTCTGTCTCCAGGCTCATTTCTGTCACCAGGTCTGTGTTTTCTATTGATCTTTCTGCCTTATTCCCAACATGGACTCTGGTAAATGATATTTGAACTTGAGTTTGACTTGAAAAAAAACAGGAAGTATCTTTTGGTAGTCATTATGTCCAGAAAATATTGATTTGGCTGACTGTGTG